AAAATATAAAATAAAAATATATTTTTAAATATATTTAAAATATAATACATTTTAAAAATATAAAAACTATTCTTTTCTCACTGGCCATATAAAAGCTGATGGCCAGATTTGCCCTCAGCAAGCTGAGGTGGGTGTGCTGACCCCTGAACCAGATAGTAATATTAAAGTCATAAGAGATAATTCAAACCAATTTATAAAACAACTAGAGGGCCCAGTGCACGAATTTGTGCACCAGTGGGGTCCCTCGACCTGGCCTGCAGAATCGGGCTGAAACTGGCTCTCTGACATCCTCTGAGGGGTCCGGATTGTGAGAGGGCAGGCCAAGGCAAGGGACCCCACCGGTGCACGATCAGAGCTGGGGAGGGACGTGGGAGGTTGGCCAGCCAGGGAGGGACCACGGGAGAGCTCCGGGGCGTGTCCGGCCCGTCCAGCTCAGCCCGGATCGGCCAGACCCCAGCAGCAAGCTAACCTACCAGTTGGAGCATCTACCCGCAGTGGTCAGTGCACGTCATAGCAAGCAGTTGAGCGGCCTTAGCATATCATTAGCATATTATGCTTTGATTGGTTGAACAGACGACCGGACAACCAGACACTTAGCATATTAGGCTTTTATTTTATAGAATGATAAAATCAGGAACAGACCGTAAATCTTCACACTTCATTCAGTATACCATTCTACATCTAGAAGCATTTCTACCTTACCTGAAATTCATCGAAACATAAGAGACATGCTTCTTCGCTGATTTCTTCAGCTATAGGAGCTATTGGATCATATGATTTAGCCATGAATCCTGGTTTCCTTTTTGGCAAACTCTGTTTAAGGCGGTGTATTCCTTAAACGGGTGAAATTGAATACAAAATCAAATACTGTATTAATAGTACATTTCAGATAACTATAACATATTTTTAAATCTAAATAAATGAAACTTTAGTGTAAACATCAGTTTAAAGTCCACATATAATCATATATAACCACAAGTGTGATCATTGAAATTGGTTGCATTTTCTCTACCTCAAAATAAGTTGCTCACGCCCTAACCGGTTTGGCTCAGTGGATAGAGCGTCAGCCTGCGGACTGAAGGGTCCCAGGTTCGATTCCGGTCAAGGGCATGTACCTTGGTTGCGGGCACATCCCCAGTAGGGGGTGTGCAGGAGACAGCTGATCGATGTTTCTCTCTCATCAATGTTTCTAACTCTCTATCCTTCTCCCTTCCTCTCTGTAAAAAATTAATAAAATATGTTTAAAAAAAAGTTGCTCACATATTATATTCCCATGATTATAAGGATATTTGTAATCATTCTATCTCTATTCTTCAATCACTTTGGAGATGACAAAGTGATAGACTAGATGACTAGATGGTAAATAGATGGACGAAAAAATCAATCTTAATCCTGAGAATCTCAGGGATGTGCACTGAGGAGACAGTCCTGCCCTATGTCTAGCATATCTAATCAGAATGTTCTTGTCTCCAGCCTGATACACTAGAGCCAGTCCCATTTCATGTATTATATGTGTACTAAATGCTGAAAGTATTCTAAGAAAAACACAATGTTCCTGCTCTGGGGAGGTTACAATGTAGCTGATAGACAATGCAAAAATGAGATAATATAAGAACACCGACAAAGCAATAAAGCATACATACAAGTACAAACTGCATGCCTACATGCTAAGGTGGCACAGTGGAAATGATCTAATCAAGAATAACTTCATTTTTAGTTAAATTTATGGGAGTGGCACTACTCAATAACATTATTTAAAACTCAAGTGTACAATTCTATAGTACATCACCTGTACATTGCATAGTATGCTCACCACCCAAAGTCTAGTCCCCTTCCATCACCATATATTTGACACTCTTTACCTTCTTCGACCTCGCCCTACCCACCTTCCCCTCTGGTAAACACCATACTATTATCTGTCTATGAGTTTGTTTTGTTTGTTTGTGGCTTTCTGTTTTACAAGTATATTCCATATGTGAGTGAAATCATATGGTTCTTGTCCTTTTCCATGTGACTTACTTTGCTTAGTGTGATACTGCTCTCAAGACCCAACCATGTTGTCACAAATGGCAATATTTCATCTTTTCTTATGGCTGAGTTGTAAAGAATAACTTTTTGAAACAGGTGAGGCTTTCACATTTGTTATTGATCCTTAGCAGAAAGAAAAAATGCCTGACCTTCATATAGTAACCTCTGTTCTCATATTTGGAAGTACTGATGTATCTTTAGGACCAACTCTGGACACATTACTATTGTTTCAATATAGCACAAAACAAATAAAATCTTACTTAAAGCAAAAATATATTTTTAAGTATTAAAAAGTTCAGAATTTCAAAAGATGAGGAAAATTATTTTGTAGTGTTTGCCCACTTAAAAACCACTGCTTTTCCCAGATAGTTAACTTACTTTTGTGAACATCTAGCATGAAACCATGAAAATGAACCCGTTTTTTCCTCTTCATTTCCACATAAGTATAAAACATGTCCATCACCATTGTTTTCCCTGTACCTTAAAAAAAAAAAAAAAGGATACTATTAAACAGTGTTACTGATTGCTCTAATGATTGTTCATTAGCTTTCGGATAATGAAACCACACTCTTCTACTGGAAAGATTAAGACTATGTTACTTTTTTTTAAGAAGTGTTTATTTTTTATGTTAAACCAGCAAAAGATAAAATATTATTCTTTTCTGTTAAAATCCTGTTTTTAGGATTATATTATTAAATATATATATGTATTTATATATATAATATAAATTAGTTAATATTAGAGGGGCTATTTGCCCCTGAAAACTATGTTTATAAACTGGCTTAATTTACAAATTCTTCATTCTTCAGTTTCTCTTTCAAAAGGTACCAGTATGAATAAAATAATTTTATTAATTAAATATTTATTGGGCCATTACTAAGTGTGAGAAACTATCTTAGGCACTATGGGAAAATTCAAACATGAAAAATAAGAAAATAAAGATTAGTATCTAACATAAATACTGAAAAGAAATAGATGTAGATTAGAGCTGGAGGATTGCCAAGTATATAATACTTTTTCAAAAATCTGAGAATATAGGTCTTGCAAAATGAGGTCTACTTGAAGAAATTCTGATAGTCAACTCTTATAATTAAATTATGTAATTTTCAACACTCTGGAACTTTTCATCACTATGATTGCATTAATAATTGAAGAGTCAATGGCCTGGGCCTTTAACACAGGCATGCACAGAAAGCCTATTCCCTACAGTGGTCGGCAAACTGCGGCTCGCGAGCCACGTGCAGCTCTTTGGCCCCTTGAGTGTGGCTCTTCCACAAAATACCAACTTCTGCGCAAGGGCCACGAAGTTTCAATCGCACTGTACCTGCGTGCCCGCACATGGTATTTTGTGGAAGAGCCACACGCAAGGGCAGAGCTCAAGCTTGGTTCACACCAAGCACTCCTTGCAGCCAGGCCCAGGGATGCTGGCCCTGTCTCTTATCCTTCTGAGTTCTCCATTCCCCTTCCCCCCACCATGTTCTCCTCCTAAGAGCTGCAGCTCAGGAAGTGAGATCTGAGTTTTAAATGGGGGGGTGGGGGGGGGTGGAGGGGATTGCTCCATTCCATAGATAACTTTGGGCCCATGCTGTTTGAATTGCCAGAAAATTTTTGTATATGAAAATACGATTTGTTAAAGAGATTTTTTTAAATATACTTTTATTGATTTCAGAGAGGAAAGGAGAGGGAGAGAGAGAAAAAAAAACATCAATGATGCCTCCTGCAAGCCCCCGGGTGGGAATCGAGCTCGCAACCCAGGCATGTGCCCTGACAGGGAATCAAACCCTGACCTCCTGGTTCATAGGTCGACATTCAACCACTGAGCCACGCCAGCTGGGCTGTCAAAGAGATTTTTAATAAAGAGACCATTCAGACTGAAAAGTAATTCTTTGCAAAAATATCCAGTACAATATCTCTTGATATAGTGAGTGGCAGCAGATTTTAAGTCATTATATTTACCTAAAAGAGTAAATCAATAAAGTTTCAAATCCTGCTGCATAAAGCACAATATACTGACAGGTCGAGGAAAAAAGTCATGAATTATCTAACCACAAATGCGAACAACATATATTTGAAGTGACTTTTGTGCTAACTCTAAAAAATGGGCTTAAAATATAATGTGACCATCATATAAAAAGTTTCTGAAGGTAACAGAAATCATAAAAGAAAAGGACTGATAGATTAGGCTACATGCAATTCAACTTTCTAAATATAAAATTCACCATAAGTAAAATTATTGTCTTTATTCATTTAATCAATATATTTTTACTGAATGCCTACCATGTGTGAGGTCCTATTCTAGGTGTTTAGGATATCACAGTGAACAAACTTCACAAAAATCCATGCCCTCATGGAACTTGGTGGTTTAACCTTATATATCTTTTAAGATATAAAGAGCTCTTACAAACTACAATGAACTTTTTGTCCTAAAGCTCTTCCTTCTGGAAGCTTCTCTACTTAGTATGATTCTATGATGAGAGTATCAATCACAAGGTGGACCAATAAAAATACCCCACTACCCTACACACTGTGATTGGCCCTGCCATGAGCATATGACCCAGTTAGGTAATGTTTTGTGTGAGGAGTTAATATGGATTCCAAGAATAAGAATCATCCCTTCTCCTTTTAAGAGAACAACCTAGAAGATCCCAGGAGCCTTCTTTCCTATAACATCAAAAAATTATTACCAAGAATGAAGTCAACAAGAGAAAACCAGAACCAAGCGATGAAGAAGGGAAAGGGAAGGAAGGAGAGAGAGAGATCCCTAAAATATTATTTAATCTCTCCTCTCTACCATTAGCTGAATCAGATCATTACTTGATTTCACAATTAAACCAACCATTAAATTCCTCCCCTAGTTCAGCTACTTCAATGGACTCCCCTCGCCCCACTCCAACTGAAAGAGACTGAGCAATACAGAATTAACAAGGGGGGTGTGGAAAGATGATCAAGTGCACAGAACATGAGTATTCAAATAACACACAAAATGTGGGGTGCGGGTACAGTGTTTTGGCCAGGTTCAAGCCTCGGACTAATGAAAGGACAGGGTCTCTCATTGCCACGTGCAAGTCCCAGCTGGAGGGCAGGGCCCTCCCAACACAATGATAGCCAACAGCTATGGTTGTAAGCTTGAACCTATGGTCCAAACACGTGGCCCCACGTGCCTTGTGCTAGAGTTCAGGTGCATGTAGTTGAGTAGGTTGGAACTCACAAGAATGCTGTAAACAACTTGATCATGCCCCTACTTTGCCTCGTGGCATCTGCTATAAAATAAAGACATGGCTTGTGGACACTGGCGCTGTCTCCTCATCAGGGAGCAGCGTCCCACCGAGACCCAGCTTTCATTCTCTTGTCTGTCTTTTCTCAATCCTTTCACCCCCCCACTCAGGATCACCCTTGGCTGTGCTGGCGCGGCACAACAAAATATATAAATAGCTTTAAACACATTTTTTAAAGTTTAACTCCATCTGAAATATAAAAAATACAAATTAAAACACCAATGATATACCAGTTTTATGTTGGTGAGGACATGGGGGGAATCCAAGTAAATCACCGAGGTCTCGCTAAATTGGATTAAGAAACTTCAGAATTATAGGAGTCCAACATAGGTGAAAATTTCAAGGCAAAGCACCAGAGAGGAGGAAGCTATATAATGAAAAGAGCGCCTGAAACCAACATGTGAGTACTCTTGAGTCTTTGGCTGAAGACTAGCTACTCCTATGTAGGGTGATACTCCATGATGTGAGGCAAAGAATGGCCATCAGAAAACTATAAGATAAACAATTTCCAGTTGTTGTATGTATCATATCTCTGGAAATTATGGACAACACAGGGATTCTTGTAGAAATAAAATTGTTCAGTACCTTGACTATGGTGGTGGATACATGAAACTACACAGGTGATAAATTGTACACATACATGAATACAAGTAAAACTGGAAAAATTTGAATAAGATCCATGAACTGTATCGATGTCAATATCCTGGTTGTGATATTTATACTATAGTTTTGCAAAATGTTTCCTTTCAGGGCAATAAAATAGAAAATATCAAAATATATCACATGTAAGGGTAAGTTTTCTTTCATGGAACTATTTTTCAGGCATGTAGGGGTGTGTGTGTGCACGCGTGTGCGCGAGCGGGCACTGGTGCTTTGCCTTGAAATTTTCACCTATGTGCACTCAATGAGTCAGGGCGTAAAATATAGTGCTTACTCTGGATCATGTTCAAAAACGTTTCAAAGCCATTGCAATAGTTTGTGAACTTAGGGTGAACAAAGGCTGCCTGTTTTTATTCACAATTATATCTCCAGAAACAATATAAGGCAGATGCTCAATAAACATTTGTCATGTGAATGGAAGAATGAGGACAAAAGTTGTTGGAAAAAAGTAGGGAAGAAATCTACAGTACATTTTACCGACCTCACAATTTGCTTTAGTCTCTACAGAATCCTAAATAAAACCTTGTATATACTGAGTGGCCAGATTATTATGACCACCTGACATTTGTAGGCAAATTAGCTCTAATTTTGCACTGAAGTTGCTAGAGGGCCAGATCATTATAAACGTCTGAATAGCACAACATACATAAGTATCATTGCTGATCAAGTTCATCCTATCATGTTGATGGCATATCCCAATGGAGATGGCTTCTTCCAACAAGACAATGCGCCATGCCACGGTGCTCGTATTGTGCAGGAGTGCTTTCAAGAACATGAGGGAGACTTTACCTTGCTTAGGTGGCCCCCACAATCACCAGACCTCAATCCAATTGAGCATTTGTGGGACGAAGTTAAAAGAGCCATCAGGTAGCTGGTTCCACAACCATCAAATCTCACAGAACTGGACAGTGTTATTCATCAGGCATGGTGTCAGATTCCTCGCATCACCTTTCAACATCTCGTGGAGTCAATGCCAAGAAGAATCGCCGCAGTACTGAAGGCAAAAGGTGGCCCAACGAAGTACTGATGGGGTGGTCATAATAATCTGGCCGGTCATAATAATCTGGCCACTCAGTGTATTTCTTAAGAGGAGATTCTTGCTAGGGGACTAATTTGTAAAACCTAAAACTCTTTTATGTTCTAACTTTCACGCCTATAGTTAGGAAAACAAAAATGACTACTCAAGAGCCCCCTGCACCCATGGTGTCCTTTTCACAGCCGACTCCCTGGAGAAGGAGCTGTACATATGTAGTGGCCTCCATCATGGCCTCCAAGTCCAGCAGAATTTTGCTTCCCAACTCCTAACCTTATTACCAGCCTACCTTTGAATAGTGAAATTATCAATGTGAAATAGGTGAGGCTAAACCAGCCGTGGGCAAACTACGGCCCGCGGGCCGGATCCGGCCCGTTTGAAATGAATAAAACTAAAAAAAAAAAAAAGACCGTACTCTTTTATGTAATGATGTTTTTTTTTGTTTGTTTGTTTTCTTTTTAATATATTTTATTGATTTTTTTACAGAGAGGAAGGGAGAGAGATAGAGAGTCAGAAACATCGATGAGAGAGAAACATCGATCAGCTGCCTCCTGCACACCTCCTACTGGGGATGTGCCCGCAACCCAGGTACATGCCCTTGACCGGAATCGAACCTGGGACCTTTCAGTCCGCAGGCCGATGCTCTATCCACTGAGCCAAACCGGTTCTGGGATGATGTTTACATTGAATTTATATTAGTTCACACAAACACTCCATCCATGCTTTTGTTCCAGCCCTCCGGTCCAGTTTAAGAACCCATTGTGGCCCTCGAGTCAAAAAGTTTGCCCACCCCTGGGCTAAACCAAGAGTCATCAGAAAAAGGACTAATAAACAAAAATGAACTTTTATTATCTCCTCATATACCAGAGAAATCATTACGTGCAGTCTGTTTGTTAGTCAGAAGCAGGAACCTTGCTGTAGGGTAAGAATGAAGCCACAAGAAACTACTGCAGCTTATGGTCTCTGTATGGTTTGAGCTAAGCATTTTATTAATGAATACGTTTTGTTTCAAGATTGAACCATGATGATAATCCCTTCAATTTATATAGCAACTCCACTGGGGTTCCCTGGATTGGGTGGTCTACCTGAGTCAATCATCTCAACATGTCTACGAAGAAAGGGAGTACAGTTGAGCAGGCATGACAGAGGGCAAGCCAAGCACAGGAACAAGGAGTGGGAAGGGGGCACTAAGAAGCAGACACCCTCTTTCCCATCACTTCTGAAAATGTAAACCTGTTTCCCAAGTTTAAAAAAGGAAACTAAAGAATAAGAGCTTGTGAAGGCACTGGGAGGCTTTTCTCCCAGCCAGAGAAGCTGACCTGTCGCTGATCACCTTCTGTAAGTATTCTAAACTAAACTGAGTATAGCCACTGAAATGTTCATCTCACTTCCTGTTTCATAATTCCTTTCTCTTTTCCTCTTTACATTATAAAAATGTCCCTAACCAAAGGTTGCCCCATACCCAGCCTATGTGAACATCCTATGTTATCACATCTTTTCTGATTCTTTCAAGCATTCAGATGATTTACGTTTTTGTACTTCCCTTCAATCAATTAGAATACGGCTGTGTTTTTCAAACTAAAATCCAACAACTTTTCATGAGTTTTTTTAAGTCCTTTGCAGAAGTAGAAGAAGTTGTGCTTTACTAACCATCTCCATTTATGGTTAAGTGGCTAAAGTATCAGAGAAACAAAGATATTGGTTTTAGCAATGACTGATTGTGAAAGTGAAGGTATAAGAAGGACATGTTCTGAGATTTGCTGGCAGTGCCCAAAGGTACTGACATGTAACACTGACCATGCACCTGGTATAAAATGCTTTTTAACTACGAAGGAAGCATACCTTGATCTAAAAAATACCAATTAGATATTTAACTAAGAGAACAACAGTTTGAGCTTCTTTCACATTTTCTTTAACTGTAAGTTTCAAGAACTTGAAGAATTTTAGGGGCAATCTGTATCATTCACTTTTGTGAACTATATTCTCTTTTTATTAGGTTCACTAAATCTGTAAATGTAAAACAGGAATTTAGCAGCATTTGTAAACAAATCAGAAAAAAAGGAGGACCCTCTTAAAGATGAAAAGCTAAACCCTTAAAGTTTTATCTTTAAGGTACTATAACTATTTATTCAACTGTTTTATTTCTTGTCCTAAATATATTACTAACTTCTGCCATCACTCCATAATGCAAATTTGTTATGGTTACAGGGAAACCTGAAGCGTGTTTATCAGTCTAGGACCAAAACCGGTCCGATTACATGTAAGTGAGAGTTTTTAGTATCCCACTATCAGAAATGAGTGACAAGCAATAAGGCCAGGGAAAGTAAGAGCCACCTTCGTAACATCAGTGAATGTGGGTAACCAGGGAGAGGTTTAGGAAGGATTTGTTTGAAGGAAATGGAAAGCAGAAAACAGATTGTTTCAGCAAAACAGATGAAGTCAGAGAAGAAGCAAGACCTTAGTTGATTAGGAAAATCTAGAAGGTAAGTGACTGCTCATAAATTTTCCAAGAAAATGTGAGTCTTTGTGCCGAATGTACAGAAAGGGGAGACTAAGCCCTAGCTGATTTGGCTCAGTGGATAGAGCCTCGGCCCAGAGACTGAAGGGTCATGGGTTGGATTCTGGTCAAGGGCAGGTACCTCTGTTGCAGGCTAGATCCCAGGCTCCCGTTGGGGTTTGTGCAGGAGGCAACCAATCAATGTTTCTCTCTGTGTCTCTCCCCCTCCCTTCCACTCTCTCTAAAAATCAGTGGGAAAATATCCTTGGGTAAGGATTAACAATAACAACAAAACAAAACAAAGAAATGAGAGACGATGGAAGTATTACCACTCGTGCATTAAGAGTATCTACTAATAACTAAATTGAGGATAAGGGTTTGCATTATGAGTAGAAATATTAGTGGAAAGTAAAAGTGAAAAAGAACAGCTTTTTAAAAAAGTACATCCTAAGCTGCGTCAAATAGCAGTGAGCAACAGGATTCTGAATTATCTAATAACCTACCTATAGATGATTTCCTTCCCTGAGATGAACTCACTTTATTCATTGAATAATGTTTGCACCCTAAAATGCTAACTAACACTGCCTTACACTACAGGCACACCCTCTGAAAAGTAAAAGTGCAAACTAAGATGCCTACCCTTCCCTCCCCCTATTTTACCTCACCTCATCCTACTCCCTTGCTGGTAGTGGATTGAAGGATTGAAGGATGGAAATGGAAGTTATCTCTGAGCAAAGCTGGGAAACTTTCTGTTTGTAACACCCAAAACTTGTTTTAACACACTTACCAACATCTCCATAAACATAGAGGCCCTTTGGAGGTTTGCTCCTTGAAAAAAGCTGCAAATTAAGAACAAATTATAAATCTCTAACATGGAAATCATTAAATATCATCACATAAATAGTGTTCCTAACTGTGCTATATATACAGGGCTAAAATGGACTATTATGCACAATAAGTAAAAAAACAAACAAACAAACAAACAAAAAACTTGATGTAAAAGGCTGGGAAACCTAACTTAGGTTTCAATACAAGAGGAAAAATGCATAGTGGTCCAGAGCAGGGGCTCTGAAGTCATGCAAGTTTACATTCCTACACCATCTGCTAACCATGTAATCTTCCCCCTCTTTCCTAACCAGCTCTCCAAACAATGGCAGCCTGGCTCATTCTCAGCGAGCAACAGATTAGAAGAATTTTTCTGGAAAAACTAAATGCTATCCAGTCTTATTTGCTGCCCTAGGCCTGTCCTGCCCATGACTCTCAAAGTCGTTTCTTGATTTGATCTTTATTTGAAACATCTGCTGTGAACTGCTTCCTGCCAGGACTCAGATACACACCCAACCCCTAAAATGCACAGACATAACATTAGACAAACACTTGAAAATGTGAACATGAGTAAGTTTCTCTAATGACCAGTGTAAGATCTGTTCTGTTACTTGTATCTTAGGAAATTTGTAAAGGAGGAGGTGGAGGATACCTTTCTACAGGGTTTTTGATGAGTCCAATAACACTGCATTGTACCACTGAGCCACACTGGCCAGGCCATTGTAAATTGTACAGATGGTAAACTTAAGGATGATGTTGAAAGATTGTGGTAACCTATCACCTCCCTCTGCTAAGCATAAAAGATACAGCACAAGAGTACTGGAGTTGGACCCAAAAGATCTGGTACAAATTCTGGTTCTGCTACTTATTAGGTATGTGACTCTGGGTAAGCCTCATCAACCCTACAATCTGCTATTTCCTTATCTTTTGGGTGCAGGGCAGAGTGCAGGGGAGTTTCCACTCACTGCCTACTTCTGCATACCTAATCACAAGGCCCACTCACTCACAATGAAGACTGAAAACTACGTGTGCTTACTGATACCTGCTTCCATCCAAACTTGGGGCCATGAAAAAAGAAACATTGCACCCTTTGACACACTCATTTCAAAGACCTGAATAACACTAACGTACACTCAAGATATTTTATATTTAAAACTCTATACCAAATGAATCAAGAATTCAAGACAGGTAGCCCAATTTCAAATATAGCCCATGTGCTAAGCCATAAAGGAAACCTCAATAAATTCCAAAGAATCACTGTACTCCAACCATAATATAATAAAGTTAGAAATAATGGAAGAATTGCTAAAAATAGAAAAGCCTCATACTAAGATATTGACCTTCCCATCACATGCACCCAAACTTCTGAATACTGCTGAAAAAAGGTCTGAAAGGCTTGCAGACTGCACCCTCTCACCAGCCCCTCCATATTGTCAACAATTGTTTCCCTGATTAGTTCACTCTCTTTCTCCACAATGATGCTCTAGATTCTAGAACCTTCTCAGCTCCCTTCATGCTAAACTATACTTCCTCTATCACTTTCAGCAGATATCTCCTACTTCTTCATAGGGAGAAAACAGAGGCAGTGGGTTGGAACACCTTCAACTTCCTATATGAAAGTAATCCCACCCATATCTGTGCCCATCCTTTCCTCTCTTCCTCCTGTGACAAAGGAAGATGATTCCTCCCCCAATACAACCTTCTATCAATTTCTGGATCTCAGCCCCTCCCCCCAACCTTCTCAGGAACTGCGGCCCATTAAATTAAGTTTTTCACTTCTCTTGTAATCCTTCTCTTCAACATCTTTATAACTATCTTTCTGTGAATGTATTTTTACAACCTTGAAGTGTGATGTTTTATAAGCAAAACACAAACCCAAAAACTATAAGGGGAAAGATAGCTACATTAAAAGAAGTGGAGTTAAACATTTCTGTTTGGGGGGGAAAAATGTTAAGAAAGGTAAAAAGATAAACTGCAAAAAAAAAGAAACATTTATTATAAAAAAGAATTTATTTCCTTGGTAAACAAAGAGCTTTTATAAATCAATAAGAAAAACAAATACAAATTGCTTAAACATATAAAAAATACTTCATTTCATTCACAATAAAAGATATGTGATTTATGCCCTGGCCGTTTGGCTCGGTGGATAAAGCATCGGCCTTCGGACTCAAGGGTCCCAGGTTTGATTCCAGTCAAGGGCATGTACCTTGGTTGCGGGCACATACCCAGTGGGGAGTGTGCAGGAGGCAGCTGATCGATGTTTCTCTCTCATCTCTCATTGATGTTTCTAACTCTCTATCCCTCTCCCTTCCTTTCTGTAAAAAATCAATAAAATATATTTTTTTAAAAGATATGTGATTTACAATAATAATGCCAAACCACCATGACAAAATTCTAAAAGTCTCAGAGAATACAATATTATTAAAGATGTAGACAGACAGGCAGGCTCATAAATTGTAAGAATATGAATTGCTGCAGTTTATTTTTTAGATAAATGTCATTGTCTATCAGAATGTAAAGTACATATACCCTTTAACTGAACAATTCCATTTCTAGAAATTTATCCTACAGGAATAACCACACGTACAAGATATATTAGTATATTCATATGATGGAGTACTATACCACTGTTAAAAGCTAATGAATTGTTGGATATTCAAATGAAAGAATTTTTAAAAATGAGGTAGCTCTTATAAGAAGTAGAGACTCTCATTATTTGCAGATGATCTGATATTGTATATTAAGAACCCTAAAGATTCCACAAAAAAAACTACTAGAACTGATAACTGAATTCAGTAAAATAGCAGGATACAAAAAAAAAAATTTTTAATCCAGACATCAATGGCATTTTTATACACCAATAATGAACTATCAGAAAGGGAAACTATGAAAATAACCCCATTCACAATTGCTTCAAAAAGAATAAAATACCTAGGAATAAATTTAACCAAGGATATAAAAGACCTGTACTCAAAAATTATAAGACACTGAAGAAAGAAATTGAGGAACATAAAAACAAATAGAAGCATATACCGTGATCATGGATAGGAATAATTAACATCATTTAAATGTCCATAATTCAAAGCAATCTACAGAGTCAATGCAATTCCTATCAAGATAATAATCTAGTATATCACTAAACTAGAACAAATGTTTCAAAAACTTGTATGGAACCACAAAAGACCTCAAATAGCAACAGCAATCTTGAGATAGAAGAACAAAGTTTGAGGAATCACCCTACCTGATATCAAACTATACTATAAGGCCACAGAAATCAAAACAGCATGGTACTGGCAAAAAACAACAACAGACATATAGATCAATGGCACAGAATAGAGAGCCCAGAATTAATGACCACAACTTTATAGTCAATTAATATTGAACAAAGGAGGCAAAAACATATAATGGACTAAAGATAGTCTATTCAATAAATGGTGTTTGGAAAATTAGACAAGTGCAAAAAAAATTAAACTAGACCACCTTCTTACATCACACACAAGAATAAACTCAACATGAATTAAAGCCCCAGATAGTTTGGCTCAGTGGGTAGAGCGTTGGCCTGGGGACTGAAGGATCTTAGGTTTGATTCTGGTCAAGGGCACATACCTCAGTTGATTGCAGGCTCAATTCCCAGCCTGGTCCAGGCGCCTGGGGAGGTAACCAATCGATGTCGATGTGTCTCTCTCACATTGATTATTTCTCTCTCTGTCTCTCCCCCTTTCTTCCACTCTCTCTAAAATTCAATGGAAAAATATCCTCGGTGACGATTAACAAATAAAATGGATTAAAAACTTAAATGTTAGACTCAAAACCATAAAAACCCTGGAAGAGTAATACTTTCAACAATAAAGATTTTTTTTAAATCCTAGAAGAAAACATAGGCAGTAAAATCTCAGACATTCTCGTAGCAATATTTTTCCTGATATATCTCCTCCAGCAAGTGAAACAAAAGAAAAAATAAACAAATGGAAATACATCAAACTAAAAAGTTTTTGCACAGCAAATGAAACCATCAACACAATGAAAAGACAACCCACTGAATAGGAGAACATATTTGCCAACGATACATCTGATAAGGGATTAATAATATCCAAAGTTTAAAGAGAACTCATAAGACTCAACACCAAAGAAACAAACAATTTAATTGAAAAATGGGCAGAGGAACTAAACAGACACTTCTCCAAAGAGGACATATAGATGGTCAATAGACATATGAAAAGATGCTCAACATCACTAATCAAAGAAATGCAAATTAAAACCATAAAGAGCCCGGCTGCATGGCTCAATGGTTGAGCACTGACCTATGAACCAGGAAGTCATGGTTCCATCCATGGTCAGGGTACATGCCCCAGTTGTGAGCTCCATCCCCATAGGGGCCAAGCAGGAGGCAGCCAATCAATGATTCTCTTTCATCATTGCTGTCTCTATCTCTCTCCCTTCCTCTTTCTGAAATCAATAAAAATATTTTTTTTAAGAAAACCACAATGAAATATCACCTCACACCTCTCAGAATGGCTATCATCAATAAGTCAACAAATAACAAGTGTTGGCCAGGATACGGAGAAAAGGGAACCCTCATACACTGTTGGCAGGAATGAGGATTGGTGCCGCCACTGTGGAAAAGAGTATGACATTACCTTAAAAAAATTAAAAATGGAACTGTCTTGCCCTAACCAGTTTGGCTCAGTGGATAGAGCATCGGCCTGCAGACTGAAGGGTCCCAGGTTTGATTCTGGTCAAGGGCATGTACCTTGGTTGCAGGCACATCCCCAGTAGGGGGTGT